ACGAAGAGTCTTTAAAGAAAAATTAATTGTGAAATAATCAAGTTTTTTAAAAATAACTAATTGTGAAATATTCAAGTCTTTTTAAAAGAAATTAATTGTGAAATAATTAATCGGTAGCGTTTGTGACATAGAATTTCTTACATAAGTAAAAACTGATGTTTGCAAGAATTTGAGCTCCTACTCAATTTCAAATTATTTGACTATTGGATAAAGTGAAATCGAGTTATATGCAAACTGAGCCTTATGCAGAGATAGCGTGTTAAAGAGCAGACGCAGATGTAGCAGTGCTAATTTCATCACAAGTTATGGAGGGTTTTCAGTCGTAGCTATTGCTCGCTAGAAATTGCGCTAATAATTTTCTTCGCCTCATGTCTGGTGAGCTGATCGTTTTTTTTTTGCAAAGATTTGAGACATTTAAATTTGGAAAAAGTAGCATAAGATGAGCCAACTTACTCGCTTTGCAACAAGTTGTGCTCCCAAAACCTAGAATTCAGTAAGAAAATTGCATCATTACATCATTTGCTAGGGCGATTCGTCCAGAAAAAAAAGTTATTACACTAATTTGTGATGCGGTAGGGTGATTATTACATTTATTGTGTTCACCATTGCTAATTGCTCGCCGTCTATTTTTGGATAAAAATAGATCTACGCAATACTTATTTTGAGCTTCGCCAGTAAAGTTCACAATTTTTTTCCAAATGCATGACAGAATAAAGAATTAATCGGGCATTTTTTGTTGTGTTATCATAATTTTTTAGAGTACAAAAAATTAAGAAGCATTACCTCAGATTATTGAGGTTAAGAGATACTATATTTAATTATCTTCGAGAGATACAAAGCTTGGAAATTCCAATAAATTCAGGCAGTTCGACTTGTCGAACTAACAGAACTGACTATTGCGTGTTTTATGTCAGTTTTTGCAAAAGAATTATTCAACATGTTTTTGGAATAATAAGGATTAATGTACTGTCATGGAACTATGGTCCAAGTATGGGTATATTTAGAGAAAAGGGAAAAGTCTCAATATTTAACAATGGACGGGGT